CTCCATGGTCATGTGGCTGGCATGACTAAACGCCAAATGTGCACAGAACACTGTTACCTTCCCACCAAAGGTGGTTCCTATTTTTCTACTTGCATTTTTACATACTTTCGAACTGCTAGGTTGGCAGAAGCTGGGACAAGTAATGGGAGCTTACTCCATTACGCGGTGCTAGGGACTCGAACCGCCGACCTTTCTGATTGACAAGCTCAGTGTCTTAGCCACTGAGTTACCATGTCCTCTTATAAAAATTAAATGACTACCCTCCTCCCCATTTCCACTGTTTTTATCTGGGACTCGGATGAGATGGACATAACAAATTGAATAAATTATGGTTGGTCACATAGCCAGCCAGATATTTAGACTGGATTTGGTATTTTATTCTGCCTAGCAAGTCCTTTCCAAGGACCAGGATAGGTAGATGTTGCTGTTTATTAATATTTAAATTGGGATACAAGCTGTTCCAAGTAAAGCTGCCTTCTGCAAATGATGGTGATTTTGTCAATGCCAATGGTATTCAAGTAGTCCTCCAGATGTTGTTGAAATCATCATTATCTAATTTTCCTTAACTGAGGAACAGTAATATCACAAAATTATCTACCTTTAAGTTAAGCTCCTAAATGGCATCGTGTTAACTTCGAACAAACCTAGCCACAGCCATCTTTCATGTTCCGCCGCTGTCACACAGAGAGGGGAAGATGGTTGGAAAGCTTTACTAGACACAACTAAGAGCTTTCTTATGAGAACCAAGGTTAAACTTTACTGGCAACCGATAAGGTTGGGAAGGAGTGCCTAGAGAGCCCACCAATTGACCAAATTGGCCAACATGACCTGTGATATCTGGGGATGGGGTTATTTCCTAGTTTAATTATACTGAAACTGTGGGAAAGATTTAGAATTGGTTTTCCATTGAAGTTGTGCTGATATGATGTATTCAATAAACAGGAAATTTGAGAAAAAATCAAGTTTTAGAGTTCTGATTTGCTTGGGTTCATTGGTCGGGCCTTAAGAACATAGGATAAAGATCTCAATCTTCAGAAGGCAGCAAGATCAGTTCACTTACTCCCATCCTGTTCCTTGCTCTGCTCTGGGGAAAAGTTCCCTTGCACAAAGAGGGAACATGAAAAACAAGAGGATCCATGCGGTAGCCTCAAGCATAGTCCAGGTTTCTAGAAATTCAAGTACGTCTTTAGTTTGGAATGAGGCAATATTATGAAAAGAAACTAGAATATAACAATGCTCCATCCTGGTCACTGAGCATTTGAAGCAAGTAATCCTACCAAAATAACATACTAAAGCAGCAAAGTTTATGTTAACACACTTTTTCACATCTATTATTCAGAACAGGGCAAGCCTGTTCTTGTTTGGTTTTCAGCAGCCTTCTTTGGAGACAGAGACTGTTTCTTTCTCATTAATAGCTTTATTAATAATTGTGATTCGGGCATTTCTCAAAGTAGAATTTATTTTAAAAGTGAAAGGAAGGGTTTAATCAATGTTGGATATTCAAGCTATCATCCTATACATTACATCTAATCAGCTAAAGGCTCTGAAGAAAGAACAGACAGACATTTTAAGTTTTCATTCCACCTGATGCACTGAAATACTAGAATGGAATCCAAAGATAATGAAGCAAAAGGTTTCTTGAGATCTTAGGAAATCTCAGCCACAAAGGCCAAAATTGTATTGTATTATATTTGTATTTAATGGATTTATAGGCTGCCCAATCCCGGAGGAACAAAGGGAATTGTTCATTTTTGAGAGTATTGATGTATGCATTCGTTAGCTGCTAATACTGTACTTTTTCAGAGTATAAGACCCACTGGAGTATAAGACGCACCAAGGTTTTGAAGAGGCTTTTTTAAAAAAAAAAAGTAGGTAGGTAGATAGAGGGATAGAGGGAGGGAAAGAAAGATAGAGAAATACAGTAGGTAGGTAGGTAGGGAGAGAGAGAGAGAGAGTAGTTAGGTAGGTAGGTAGGTAGATAAAGGAAGAGAGAGAGTAATAGAGAGAGATAGAGAGATAGAGAAATACAGTAGGTAGGTAGGGAAAGAGAGAGAGAGTATAGGTAGGTAGGTAGAAGGATAGAGAGAAAAATAGAAAGAGAGAAATAGAGTAGATGGGTAGGGAGAGTGAGAGAGTAGGTGGGCAGGTAGGTACTTTACTTTACTTTAATAAGATTTGTATGCCCCCCACTCCCTTGGGACTCTGGGCGGCTAGAGGCAGAGAGAGAGAGAAATACAGGAGGCAGGTAGGGAGAGAGAGAGTGTGTGTGTAGGTAGGTAGATAGGTAGAGGGATAGAGCGAGACAAATAGAAAGAGAAATACAGTAGATAGGGAGAGAGAGAGAGCAGAGAGGTAGATAGCTAGATAGAGGGATAGAGAGAGAAATACAGTAGATAGGTAGGGAGAGAGAGAGTAGGGAGATAGATAGATGTTTCCAGGTGTACTTATCCATGTGCTGGAGAAAGAAAATTGCTGACCATCTGCAGCACCTAAGACTTTGTTTCTGCTGGCACAGCACTTGATCAATGTAATTCTCATCAATAAGTTAAAGAGCTTTCCAAAAGGAAAAAAAAAGTTTTTCCACTCTGCAAACCTCCCCCAAACGGTCCATTTTTCACAAAAATGGACCCGTTTCCTTTTTTAAAAAAAGGCATGAATAGCCTTGGGGGGGAGCTTTCAGAGTGGTCCTGGAGGGTGGGGGGCAAAAATGAGCAAAAAACAGCTCATTTTTTGTGAAAACGGACCTATTTTTTGTCAAAAAAATTGCATGCATAGACTTATGGAGGCTTATAGAGTGCTGCTGGGGGCTGGGGGGGGGAGCAAAAACGGCCCGTTTTTTGCTCATTTCTGCCCTCTCCAGCCCCCAGGAGCTCTCTAAAGCCTCCATAAGGGTATGCACAGCCATTTTGGTGAAGGGGCGGGGATTCGTGAGGCAAAAAATGCTGTATTCAGTGTATAAGATGCACCCAGATTTTCAGCCTCTTTTTTGAGGAAAAAAGGTGCATCTTATAGTCTGAAAAATACGGTAATTTAGAATAACCTAGCCTAAAATAGAAAGCAGAAAGGAGCTGCTGGATTTAATTTAATCACTTTTAAGAATGCAAAACCAATTTTAAAAACCCTCTTATACCTTTTACTTTCTGTGTAACACAAAAAAGAACAAAACTGGTGAGCCACCTGTTTGTTTATCATGGTTTTTACAAGGCAAAAATAGCTTTCTATTACAAACCATTTGATGTCTTTTTAAAAGCCTAGTTGGCTTCACACATAACCCTGAATCATAAACTATAAACTACAAATCACAATATCTTAGTGTCACATTATTTTCAAGTAGATCACATAATGGCTAACTATGATGTGTGCACCAGCCACCAGTATCATTTCACCTTGTTTCCACAGTGATGCAAAGGTAGGAAGTGTAGATTTGATTAGGAGATAGTGACATGCCCTGGAGTATTAATATTCTTGAGGGGATCTTCCTTGAAGTCAGCAAAGTTCCCTGCCCTATCTAAATCCTATTTATTTTGGTTAAGATGTTTTAAATAAAAAATATAATAATGCTATATAAAGCACAGCATCAATTCATTTAATGCTTTTTTTCCCACCCAAGCCTTTGGCACAACATAGCCTGCCCGAAACCAATAAAAGGTAAATGGCTGCAACCCAATCTCTGATTAGAAGTTTATCCCCTTAATCTGAGTAAAAGCAATGGTACATTGAGGTTAAGCACATCCTCCAGGAGTTAGAGGAAATAATGGGATATGATCTCATCAGCCTGTTTTCAAATAAATGGATGGCTATGTTCATAACGGCAACCATTCTTTAAATTGATCTATGGTTACCAGCCAAACCATATTCTTAAACTATAAAATGTATCCTCCAACCTAAAATTATTGTTTACTAATGAGACAGATACTAGCAGAAGAAGCTTCTGAGGGCCAAACAAGATGACAGCAATTATATTATCTTTCGCCTGGGTCAGTGTTTCCCAACCTTGGCAACTGTAAGAGGTGTGACTTCATCTCCCAGAATTCCCCAGCCAGTAAGGCTGAGAAACATTGATCTGGGGAATCCAACTGCTTGCAAGCAAATCTATTTCCTGCAACAGTGGTTCTCAATCTTTTGTTCACCACTGACCTCCTTTAAATACCTTTTGTGGCCACAAACCACCAAGATTTAACTCAAGACTTAAATCATTAAATTTCTTCAAACCTTTGCAGACCCCCCTGTGATATTGCCCCCCCCCCCAGTGTGTATGTGTATGTGCATCACAAGTTGAGAACCACTGTCTTAGACATATCATACATACTCTTGGCACATCAGCAAAGATTTTGCTTTACAATTTTTGTTGTAAAATGTTCCTGATCAGTGACTTCAATCCAAGCATCTTAACACTACACCAAAATATGAGAGAAAGCAATATATGTAATACTTACTTGGTCCAAGTCCTATGGAGAAAGCCGCAACATAAACCAGCAAGCTAGCCAAAGAGATCCATTTCAAAAAGGGTTGCACCTTGGCCGGTTCAACTGCAACCTGGGATTCTGCTTGCATTCTGATAAATGTTTGGTCTCCCACCAATGTTGTCCCATTCTGATACTCGGGGTCAGCAATTTCATCCTTCCACCGTGAGGAACTTTTAATAGGTAAAGTCGTGCCAGCAAAACGTTCCTTAAAAGTTTCATTAGTGAAGGTCCCAGTTCCTGCTCCTTGAGACAGAATCTCTTCCAAAGATTGGTTTAAACAGACAGTGGTGACATTCACATGTATATTTTGCATCACTAATCCTAAGGTGATCAATGACACTGACATGAGGGATGAGCCAATACAGAGAAATGTCTTGCTTCCTAAGTGGTCCACAAAAAAAATAGCTGGTATCGTACTGATCACTTTAACTACTCCAACCCCGGTTGAGGCCAAAGTAGCTGCTGCATTGCTCTGGAATCCAACTGATTTCAAAACAGTGGATGTGTAAAACAAGATGTTGGGCTGTCCAGTTATTTGTACAAAAAAAACGAGACCAACCCCTATCAGCAGCCGTGTTCTCATGTTGTCTTTGGAATGGAACAAATCCAGAAAATGATATTGGTGTTCATCTTTCAAGGAAGATTTGATCATGGTCAGTTCTTCGGTAGTGTCCGAAGTTGCCCTGAGTTTTCCAAGTACTTTACTAGCAGCTTCATCAAAACCTTTCATAACCAGAAAACGAGGACTGGGCAGAAGAAAATATAAAGCAGCTATTTGTAAAACCCCCAGTGGAATAACAAGGCCGAACATGTACTTCCAGCCATGAGAAACATTAGCAAAAGCATAATTAGAAATGTAGGCAAAAAGAATGCCCGTAACAATCATAAGTTCATTTAAAGACACAAGCAGACCTCTTCTGTGCTGCGGGGCAATCTCTGCGATATACACACATGTTGCAGTTGAAGAAAGAGAAACAGAAACCCCTATCACAATCCGTCCTACTATAAGTAGTCCATAGGAGGCAAAAATGATCAGAATCACACTGCCCACAACTAGGAAAGCAGATGACAACATAATGGTAAATCGCCTCCCATATTTGTCTATCAGGATTCCACCAGTTATTGAAGCTAACAAGGCACCAATAAGAATTGTGCTTACAATTATTTCTTGTTGTCGGCACGAAAGGCTTAGGATGCTAGTTAGCTGAAGAAGAGCTCCAGAGATAACTGCAAGCTCATAACCCATCAAAAATCCACTGATGGCCGCAATGACAGATGACAGGAGAGTGAGCATTCCACAACCTGGAATTAAAGGATATGAGAAAAATCATTTAGTTTTGTTACATCAGTAAATATAGCTTAGAAACCATACTTTTCTACGATGCTCCAGCAGTTAAAATGGAGAATTGTATAAAAGGAGTTTTGAATAGATTAACTGCTTTTATTTCAAAAACCAGATACTATATGAGCCCAGAGAATTAAGAATTGAGCTAAAGAAATGGTTAATCATGGTCAAACTGTGGCAGAGTTTTCTGGATCCCGAATGGAACCAGGGTCTGCTGATGAATGGAGTCCTATCCAGTATTACTTGTCATCAACAAAAATTCCATGACAGAATGTGCTGGTTATGAGTTGAAATGGTGTATCTAGAGGGAGTATTCACAACAAAACATCTTTGATCTCCATAATCTTTTTTTTTTTTTTGCCAAAACATGGGGATGTTTGAGATGTCAGAATAACGGACAACTGGAAACCTGAGAAATGGAGCTAATATCACAGTACCATTTTATTAGAAAAGTAATTGTTTTATTTTATTTTTCTTCCTTTTAAAAAGTTTTTCAACAAGCTTTTTTCATCCTTTGGATTTTAAGATTTAGGAAAGGACCTAGATTAATTATACTAGAACTACTAAACGGTTACATGAATTCACATGAAGTTCCAATTGAGGTATGCAATGTTAAACTGTTCAGATAATATTTCCCATACTATTTATTTCAGGCTGGTGCCTTCGGCTTCATGCTTGTGTGAGCAAAGCGTGATTGGAACTGCCGTCTTTCTATAAATATTGGTTGGTGTGTGTGTGGAGTGCTGGCTTTGTTGCTGTGGGTGGATTGGTTGGCTGTGTGGTAATTAGTTGATGGAGTTGATGTTTGCAGATTAGTCAGCTGTTTCGTAACATCCTGCCAAAGGCTGTCTTGATATTATGTTTGTGGAGAATTTTGCTGATTTTATCTGTGGTGCCTATGATGTAAGGGAGGAGGGCGACTCCAACTTCCATTTCTCGGCGTCCTAATCTACAAAAAACCCAATGGCTCCCTAGGACACACCATCTACCAGAAAAAACCACACACCAACCGCAGATAAAATCAGCAAAATTCTCCACAAACACAATATCAAGACAGCCTTCNATCCTGAGTTCCAACTTGGATGGAAAAATGTACCTTTACATATTACCAAACGCTCTGTCCTATCTGATTTTATTTAAGACTCTTCTATATTAAAAAAAATTAATCAATAGGAACTAGAATGGACCAACCCATCAGGAATCTATTTCCAGCAATACTTTATTTCCATTAAGGTTTCTGAACTGCCCGTATATCTCAGAAGAATTCCTAGAAAATAAAACAATGTGTGACTACAGTTTTGCTTGCTTTTTGGCATATGGGCCATGGTGGGTATGACCAACTATTTTGTAGAAGTGCAAATAGGCTTTCAAAATCCCAGAAGTGTGCACTGATCCAAAAATGTTGGGTAGCAGTTGGGATTAGCTTTGCTTTTTGTCCTTTCCCATGCTATGTCAGCAGGTCAGAAGTTATTAAATGGGCTATTTCTGTCATGATAAGCATAGCACACAATTCCTTTTCAAAAGAATACTGATAGACTGTATACCTAACAGTTTTCCTCAAGCTGGTACACTCTAAATATTGGGTATTTCAATTTCCCAAACATCTAGTCAGCACCATCTTTGTACAGAATACTTAAGATTTTAAATAGAAGATCTAAAAAGTCATTTTTATCTATGCAAGTAAATTCCAAAATAGCTAATATAGGTATTCACGTATGCTCTGCTTGACTAACATAAAACCGTTTGCTCTCTACTCCTTTTAAACACTTGAAGACTTTGTATTTAAGTTTTTGCAAGGGACACACTGCCATTACACAGCACACACAGGCTGATGAAGGGCATCAAATTCTTGAAGTTCAGTGCTTACATTTCTTGCTTGAAGCAGGACTATTCACACCACTGCAGCTGTTATTTCCCTAGCTTCCCAGTTTAAATTAAAGCTATCATACTGATGTTAGCAACAGTGTCTTTTCTGACACATCCAATTGAAGCTTCTGTACACATAATTTTCAAACACTGAAGATTGTGTCTACAGCAGTTTTCTGAAAGTATTGAAATAGGCTTCCTGCAAACAAAATGACCTATGCCGGCGATGGTGAACCTTTTTTTGGCTCGCGTGTCATAAACAGGGGGAGCGCAGGGGGGTCGTGCATGGGCGTGTCATACCCATAATGCAATGCGTGACCCCACCCCAGCGTGCATGTGTGCATGACAGATGCTCCCCCCCCCATTTTTGCATGCTTTTTTTCACCCTCCTCAGGCTCCAGTGGCTTTCAAAGAGCCTGGGGAGGGGGAAAAGAGCCTCCCCCGCCCGCCCCCCAGAGGCTTCAGGAGCTTCCCCCGAGTGTAAAAAACCGGCCCTATGGGCAAACCGGAAATTCAGGAACAGACTTCCCGGTTTGCTCATAGGGCCGTTTTTAGTCCTCTGGAGCCTTCAGGGATCTTCAGGAGACTTCCTGGGGAGGACCAGTTTTTTGCGCTCCGAAGGCTTCAGGGCAAGCTCCTGAAGCCTCTGGAGGGCCACCGGGGCGGGGGAGACTGTTTTCATCCTCCCCAGGCTCCTATAAAGCCACTGGAGACTGAGGAGGACGAAAAATGGCTTTAAAAAAGGCTGAACACAGTTGGCCAGCGCACGCCTCGCGTGCCCTGACAAATGGCTCTGCGTGCCACCTGTGGCATGTGTGCCATAGGTTTGCCATCCCGGACTCATGCTATCTGATATGCTGTCTCCACAATATAACATGCCCTGTTGAAAGAAATTAAGAGTGTCTCACACAACTCTACTTTCTATAAATGTTAAAACTATAAATCTAAAAACANACCGTTCAGGTAAGTCAACGGTCGTTCTCCTGTGTGCTGCTTGGGGAATCCAATCATGGGACATGCCAAAGCAATTAAGTCCCATGGCGGGAGCTAGGCTGGTCAGGTTCTCCGCAGACGAAAGAACCCTTTGCAACACTCTCCACCCAAAGGAGGCCTCAGCCGAGGCGTATAAGTCAACTTTGTAGTGTCTAATAAATGGCGAGGGTGACGCCCAAGTAGCTGCCCTGCAGATCTCCTCCACCTAGGCTTGCATAGCCCAGGCCGCTGTGGTAGCCGCACTTTTGGTAGAATGAGGCGTAATACATCTGGGAACCAGTCGGGATTGACTGTCGTACGCCAAAGCGATGCACACCTTCAACCATCGGCCGATGGTGTGGGAGGACACCTTCTGTCCCATGGACGATGGCTGGAAGGAAACAAAGAGCGCCTCCGATCTTCTGAACGAGGCCGTGCGCTTTACATAACGTCGGAGGGTCCTATGAACATCCAAATGATGCCACTGGCGCTTTGGGGGATGGGAAGGGTGCAGGCAAAAGTCCGGAAGGACGAGCTCCTGAGCCCTGTGGAACAACATATTGACCTTCGGAAGGAAGGAAGGGTCCAAACGGAGGACTACTCTGTTAGGATGGAATATGTAGAGATCTGCACGCACAGACAGCGCTGCCAACTCCAAAACCCTCCTGGCCGATGTAATGGCCACCAGGAACACAGTCTTAAACGTCAGCAGCCGAAGGCTGATGGATCGGATAGGCTCGAACGGGGCAGATGTGAGAGCCCTGAGCACCAAGATCAAGTCCCAGGTAGAATAACGGTGGACTGTCGGAGGTCTCAAGTTTGTCGCACCCTTCAGGAAAGCTTTGACCCATGAATGCTGGGACAAGGAACGGCCCTGGCCACCTCCCACCACCACCACCGTGGATAATGCTGTGACTTGCCGACAGAGCGTGTTAGGTGCGAGGCCCTTATTAAGTCCTGATTGTAAGAAGTCCAAGACCTGTGGCACCGAAGCCATGATAGGGTCAGCCTGGCTGGGGATCAGGCCCAGTGTGGGCCACAGTGGCTCTAGGAGGCTGGGCTCTACGAAGCAGCTCCGCATCTACCCCCTAGAAATAGCTGCAGATATCATTTGGTGTAAATCAGGATGAAGGCCCAAATCCTGGCCTTCCATAGGCCTGAGGCCTGCAGCAGTAGGGGTAAATGTAGCAGAAGGCCCTGCACGTGGAGGCAAATGGGCCAAAGCTCCACCTAGCTCCGAGAGAGACAGAGGGAATTGGGGCCCCAAACCCCCTTCTGCAGAAATGGGAGCCTGGGGTAATTGAATATCAGGCGACCAACCCTACTATGTAGGGCGTGCTGGAGAGACCCGTTGCGGGATTAGTACCGGGGGTGAGTCATGAGGTGCTTCAGAGGCCTTAGACGGGGCCTTGGACTTATCCCTGCGCTTATGGGATTTGTCCTTAATGGGGGATGAGGCCTGAGGCCTATGGCTGGAGGCCCGAGTAGCGGCCCTACTGGGCCTAGGGCTAGCCCCCCCCCTCGCCAAGGGAACGGGGCTCACAAACTGACTCCCCAATACCTTTGGACCCAGACTGGTCTGCCATTGTACGAGAGGGAAGAGATTTGGAAAGGCTCAACCTCGTAAAATGAATAAAGGCTCCACTGCACAAAGCACCACGTGCAACAGTAACTGGCTGAGACGACCTCCTCACTGACTCAGCAAGTCGCAAGTGAGAAAGAGGAGGTCCGTTGGAATGGCGCCGACGGCAGGGCGCGAAATCACATGCCCTGCCTTCTCCGGCCGATTCCTGCGCATGCGCAGAGACCCAAACCAAAATGGCGGCCGTCTCCGAGAGCGCGGAGATTCAAATCGGCACAGCCATGAACGGCCGCTGGAAAGCCTCGCAGCCACAAGCCTGTGGTGAAAAAGCCGCAGATCTCACCAAAGCAGCACAGCGCAACAAGTAAAAGGCGCCTGGGCTGAACCGCGCCTCAGCGGCGGGTTGCTCCCGGCGTAATATAGCGCAGGGTGGCGCACCAGCCCAGGATGTGCACAGAACTCAAGCAGGGGGGGCTCCAACTCCACCCTGCAAGCGTTGCTGCTATGTCCTGGCTGAAGAGCCTATGGACCTCGCAGCCC